ATAGCAGAATGAAAATAGCAGAACAGGCAAGACAGAGGTAACCAATGCAGCAAATAAAAGGATCAACATGTTTTAATAACATGAGCAAAGCAGCTGAAGGACAGCTCCCTGCAGAGATCCATGTTCCATGCAGAGGCAGCAGGGAGATTAAAAGTGCTTGGGTTGTGATTAAAATCTTATTTGTACCAGAAACACCTACTTTTTCCACTCCTCAATTAAATAGTTTGACTGCATTATCCTTTGTGTGCTCACTCTCACATACACACTAAACTCTTGGGTTTCCTGTCTTGAAATACCACTGTGACAACCCACGTTCTGATAGCACTTCAGCTTCCTTCAGGTGCTGAAGCAACAGGCAATCCACCTTTCAGGCACAGGATTATGAAACAAGGACTGAGATCCATGGCCAAGGATAGTGTCGGTGACATCCAAGCTGAAGAATGTACAATGAATCACAAAGGCTGTTTTTTGTATTCTTCAGGGCATGATTTCAAAATGGAAGCCCCTGATGCAGCCCTCAGAACCAACAGCTGAGCCTTGCCTCCCAGTATGGCTGAGACAACAAAATAAATATTTGCCAGGAAGCAAATACTGAAGTTTGCTAGCTTCCAAGGGAATCACTCAGCAGAGCAGCTCTCAGGATAGGTATCAGTTTCAATAAGAAGTGAAGGTGCAGTTTCTGCTAATGTTACAGATTTTCTTTTTAGCTGTCTTTTGTATCTTAACATTAATGGACTTTCTGCACACATCAAGGATTTGAAGCACTCACATCAACCATGGCAGGCATTCACCCAAGGTGCAAGACCTCAAAATAGTTAGACGCCCAATTATGACAGTTTCCAGATCTTTGGTATCAGGGCTAAGTAAGGTCACAAAGAAATTTGGTAGTAGAATATAAACCTTGTCTTGGCTGTGCCAAATAATGTATTGGCATCTGCTGCCCTTTCCCAGGTTCCCTGTTATTCTCACCCTTGCTTTTTTTCCCCCCTAGTGAAAACTGTTGCTGCTCTATGTGCAACATGGCACACCTGTCTTTTTCATGACTATTAAATATACAGATGCCCATTCCAGAATGTTCGGTGACATTCAAGAAAGCAAAAGGCATCTGAAATAATCTTCAGTGACAGATAAGAACTACACACAAATTAGATCCCAGTAAGACAGTAATCAAGGACTCAACAGGCATTTAGTATTAAATACCTTTTGCTATGTGTTAAAATTGGTGAATGAACAGTATCAGTATCCCAAGGTTAAACCTCTGCACTTCAGGCTGATGCACAGGTCCCAGGCAAGGTACAGTATCATACATCCAGACAAGATCTGGCTGTGATCCCATCAACACAGGATGGAGTTTGCATGTCTCTGACCATGCTTTTTCTGTTTCTGCAGGATGGATGACATACAGCTGTGCAAAGACATTATGAACCTTAAGAAAGAGCTGCAGAGTTTGGTAGCAATCCCAGGTAATGGCTATCTCCAACCCAATATTAGGATAATACTTGGGTGATACATAGGTGGGGATGGCATCAGGAACACACCTCTACCCCTAACAATCAGAAACATGCTCCCAATGTTGAGTTCCATAATTCTTTCCTTTAACCCTTATTTTTCCCTCCCATCTTTAATCCCCTGGTCTCCAAATTTCTTTTCATGCTGTATTTCACTGCTCCCTTGGCAGCAACCCGGCAAGTATCACTCAAACAAGGTACACGTTCCTTCATTCTTGCACTCCCTTGGCAATCTCAAGGGAACCAGGTGGCACAGAGACTGTCAGGTAGAAAAGACAAAGTGCTGAGATACCAGAGATAAAAGGGAGAAAGGAGAGGGATTTATAACCATCACTGTGAACACGATTGCTTTTTTCCAAGATATACCAATTCATTGTCACACCTGTAGTTAAATCTACCTTCTAGAATAAAGTAAAATGGGTTTTTTTACAGAAAGCAAGTGGCAAAAGCCTGCTTTGTGTTTTGCCTTAATTCTCTGAAAATTCACTGCTCTAAGGAGGGACAGAGTTGTGGACAGTTTTGCAGTCCTTAACTCCAAACTCCAGCTTGAAATCAATGAGGAATTTTGCCTCACTACAGCTTTGCTGGTTTAGCTCATCCACAACAGCCCTTCTCTGCTCAAGAAAAGAGTACAGACAGATCCTGCAAAAAGTTCAGCAACTGCAATGGGCCATTTACACTAGATGGCCATTTACACTGCATGGCCTCTAGCACCCTTCAGAAATAATTTGCTGCTGCCTAACTATTAAGGACGAGTTTTGACACTCCTTTGGTTATCCTCATTTTTTCCCCCTCTACATTTTATTGTGTGACTTTAGAGGACAACTTTCTCCCCAGAAAGGAGAGAGGTCACTCATGAAATAGGAAACAGGGTTCTACTCTGAGGCCAGATGTTCTTAGTTGTATAAAAACTTTTCTACTTTTCTTTGCAACAAAACTAGATTCATAATTTTTCTTTCTTTTTCTTTCTTTATAATACTTAGTTATTTATAGGTCACATTTTTAATTTCTAACAACACTGTTGGTACATTATTGGTTTAAATGGTATTGGAAAGGATTATGAATCCTACAAAATAACTGTGAATTATTCCCCTTGCTTCACCTCTTCTAGCCTGCAGCTTTCCTACCCTTACTTTTAACTTACAGTTATGGTTGATTGGTTTTAATTTTTTTGGTGGGCTTCTTTTTTAAAAAAAAAAAACCTTTTAGAAATTATTTTCCAGTCAAACTCTTAAGCAGAGATCCACAGGCAGCAGTTTCTCCTTAGCACTCTGCAAATCTCAGCAAACTTAAGTATTAACAATGCGCAGTTCCAGCAGCACCATCTTTTGGCAGACTCACAAGAATACTTTTGTCTTAATGAAGACAAGCTGCTGGCTTTCACACAGAGCTAACTGCTGACACAGTATGTGCCTAACCTAGAAAAACACTTTCCAAAAATGGATTCTTTCATAACACCTTCATCAGAATTTTCCTTTTAGTATAGAGATTTATATAGAGACCTGCTCTTTGGTTTCAGCAGAAGACATGGGATCAGTCTTTTAGTACACTGATTGTGCAGTGCTTTGCCACAATTCAGGATGCATGTATTTGGCAGGCAGTTTCCTGAAGGATATAATAGGAGAGCACATCTCAATCTGGGAAGAGGATAAATTGAAAGGAAGTAGAAAGTAGCTTCTACCTTCACTAGTAAGAGGAGATGATCCTTTGCTCCACAGACAAAGAGGCAAAGCAAGAAAAAAGTGATTTCTAAGCTTTTTTTTTCCTGCTGCAAATTAAGCATTAATCACAGTAATTCTTCATAGGTAACAAAGTAGAGGCCTTGAAATCTTCATAGCAGTCAATAACCACCTTCCTTCATCATTTCTGAAAGATAAAACACAGAAAATACATCCCAGACAAAGCAGCCTTACATTATATTACAAATTATTTCCTCTGCTACTGGCAGACCATAATTTAAAATTTTCCAAGGAGTATGACTGAGATTGAGACTTACAGAATTTCATAGTCTTGAAAATATATTCAAGGTGTTTTATCTCACTTAGGAACATATTTATTGCAGAAATTCCCAGCAGTAAGCATCCTGAGGCCCATGATCCAAAATTAAGCTGTACTAAAGAATTATTTTCAAATGTCTGATTTATTTAGCTCTTTAAAATATCTTATAAGTTCAATCAGCAGACATAACATAGCTCAGATGTATCAGACTGCAGGCAAATTTCCCTTCTTGCCACAACTCATTATACTTAATTTTATGGTTCTCTAAATGCATTTCTACTGCTCAAACCCAAAATTCTTGATTTAATGCAAAGGGTCTTCTCAGATAATCAAAATTTTCAGCTTCTTGAGGAAACTGTGGGCTGGGATTTGCCTCTGGCTTTATCTCTGCTCTGCTTGCTAGGTTTGAAGGTTTCTGTCTCAACTACATTTGCTTTATAACCTTAAACTAAACTACAGCTCTGCAATCCCTAACATTCATGAGTTTTAGTTTGTGACAGGCACATCTTTCATGTCACAAAAATTGTCTATAGACAACCTAGTCATTACAGACTGGCCAATTAACAAGGACATACATTAATTATTCAGATTTTTGAAGCATGGGGAAAATAAACACTTTAATTTATTTTTCCACATTTTACAATTGATATTTGTGTGGATTTTCAGCTCACCTGCCTTACCAGAGTAGATAAAAAGTATTGTAGTAAACAGCCAAAGCTGTCATGAAATACAGAGAAATGGTTCCTTTAGGTGTGGTCTCATTTCCCCTGAGGTCAAAAGGAGTTTGTATCATGGATATTAATGAAGCATCTTGGACTGTTTTCTTACCAAACCTCTTTAAAAAAAATTCAAAGTAGTGTCTTGCAGAGTAATTTAATATTAAAAGTAGACTTGGCAGGCCCCATGGAGTCTCCAGACCATTAAGCAGATCAGACAAGAGCAGCAAGTGGAAGAGAGAAAAAGAGGCAGTGACCAGAACACGCTGAGGTTTTGGTGACTTGGGTCTGAAGAACCATGGACTTCAATCACCAATTCATTCTTAGACAGCTGCAATATCCACCCCCTGCTCCACTCCCTAGAATCCAAAGTAGTAATCTCTTTTCTCTGTTTTTGACTAGAAAAGGAAAAAACAAAGATGGAGAAACAAAGAGAGGATGAACTGATTCAGAAGATCCATAGACTGGTACAAAAAAGAGATTTTCTTGTAGATGATGCAGAGGTGGAGAGATTACGGTAAGAACTAAAAGCAACTGAACTTATTTGTGAGATTTCACAAGTCTAATACTACACTGGAGTGACAGAATTTACACTGACATTGATGGGAGAGAATCGGTCCTGTAAAACAATTTACCAAGTTAAAAGCCTCCTCCCAGTTCTATAGGAAAAAAAACTTAAAACTAGATTACTGCACTTCTGTGGCTCTTTATCCCATTAATAATGCAGTCGTCTCATGACTACAGCAGGGTTTGGCCTCTTGCTTCCCTACCAGAAGATGTCTGGGCATTTACCATTAAAAAGAGAAGTATTTTTGCTGCTGCCAGAAGATCCTCTTGGCATGGTAGTAGTCATGAAATGGAATTCTATAAGGCACATATTTGTAGACATCCAAAATCTGCCTTTTTTTTTTTTAAATGAATAATGTTGTCCGTTTTTATTGTTACTATTATCACCCTGCCATAGCAAAAAAAAAAAAAAAAAAAGCAATCACTAACACAGGTTTACCTAACCTAAAGCATAAACAAGTTCAGGATGGTTTCGTGTCTATACCTTAGCCCAAAGTTGCTGAGAAACTTGTGGTCTTCCTCAGAAGTTCATTTCCAGCTGTTACACTGAGATCCCAACACTCTACAAATAGTCAGCAGTTTTGCCATTACTTCCCCGGTCTCTTTCTACAGTAAAGATTCAAGGTTCATCAGTCCATTTATCCTAAATGACAATATCTCTTCCAACACATTTAGATTCTAAGCAAGCAAAGGACAGGAGAGAAGAAAGCTTGCCAGAGTCCTGCAGCTGATCAAAGAGAGCTGGCCAAAGTCAGCAGCTGACAAGAAGCCTGAGCTCGTAATATAATCCAGAACTCTCAACTGCTAGTTCGATGTGCAAATTGCTAAAACCTCATCAGCAGCCAGACAATACAACAGCCTAATTGCAGGCTACTGAAAATGTACTGCTATGCACTATGCAGATGTGAATACGTTAGTGTCAATTCACGTTTGCAGTAACTCCCCTCAGGCTTTTCTTTAAAACTCTTGATAATAAAATCTGCTTTTCTTCTAAACTGAGATAGTAAACAAACAATGAGTGCCCTGGTGGAAGTAACAAAAAAGCAGTGAAACTAACACAGAAATATTGTTAATAGATACAATCAAGGTTAGCAACACAATCTTTCTATTTTGGGCCTAATGCTGTCATCTTCAGAGACAGAGAAATACTTGGTTTTGGTAAACACTAACAGCAGAAGATCATGAGATCCGGTCTTCTGTCTAAGCAGGCTTTTAAAAATAAGCAGTACAATCACAGCAATATGTATCTTCTACTTTACTTCGTAGAGGAAGCATTGTGAAGCACTTGTGAGGCCAGCTTAAAATACGTGATACATTATGGTTTAAATCCACTGACTAGGGAATATAATGAATCCAGCACTATCAGAGACAAGTGAAGAACCCTCTGAATTCTACAAGAAGTTTGTTACTGTTTTCATTTAGGGTAAATATTTTGCTCTTTAATAAGTGTTTTTAAAAAGCACAAAGAAATGAATTGTTTACTAGTGATTTGATCCTAGCTTCTCTAGCTTTTACTGTCTCATTTACAGAGACAACACTGGTATTTCTATAACAGATTTATTTTGCTTTTTTCCACCAGAGAGAAAGAAGAAGACAAAGAGATGGCTGAATTCCTTCGCACCAAGTTAAAACCCTTAGACAAAGCAACACAGTCTCCTACCAGTGAGTTCCTAAACATTAAGGAAAACAAGAATAGGGAAACCACTAAAGGCAACTGGATAAAAGAGCATTTTCACAGGCCATGCTGGGCCAGCCAAAAAAGCTGCCAAAAGCTAGGTTAATCTAGCTAGATCATCCTGAAACAAGATAGTGCATCAGCAATTGCTAGCCACTTAGAATTCAGATGCCCAATTACCCCTTAAAACTGAATCCAGGTCCTCTATGGCCACTTTAAAATTGCTTTGTATGGTTTAAGTATGCAAAGTATATTTGAATACATATTGCCACAACCTGCTTTTGTAAGCAACTAGATTTATTTGCCAATCATTCTTCCCATCTGGTTCTACAAAAATAACTGGAAAAATACTCCTAAGATATATGCTAGGATATCTGAAGCAAAGTTTGCCTGTTTCACTGCAGGCAAGGTGGAAACTAGAGAAAAGACTGCAAACTTCCACAGCTGCCCCAAATTTCTTACATCTTACCAGCATAAATATTCTTTTCTATCACCTCAACCCAAATCACGTATGGACAGAACTGCAAATACACTAATTTCTCAGTAACTAAGCATCTTGGGTGATTCTCTTGGAAGCTTTTACCTGCAATGTTCAAACAAAACAGTCACAGCATGAGCTCTAGAAGTTAACAGATTGATTTCAAATGCAGTGTTAGCAGAAAAGATTCTTTTCACCCTGAAAAATTAAAACCTACTTTTATCTTGTTCTTCTAATTACTATATCTAAGTTGATGAGAGAATAAACTCTAGCAGTATTTTTGTTCTTCAACTCCTTAGTTGTTGGAGTTTAAACACAGTAAGATGACTTTCTGTGGAAGAATCTGTTATCTGACCCTATGGCTCTGAACAGGGACACCTGGACTGAACAAGATGCAAGAAGTTTAGCCTCCCATTGAGATATCTGGATTCTCTAGCCCCTGTTAAACTCCCTCCTATAAAGAGATAAGACTTCCTGAGCAGTTTGAATCCACATACCGGCTTGGTTACTACCAAAGTGTTGGACATATTTTTCAAACAAGAGCTAAAAAAATTCAGGGAGGAAGAGAAGAGGGGAGGGCGTGAAAGGCTTACATTCTTTAAGCTAGAAGTAGGAAGAAATAGTTTGACCAGCTCTTGATTTTAATGGTGTCCTGTTTTGAACATTGCAGGCAGCCCAGCAGAAAAGAAGGCAGAACCTCCTCCAAGCAAGCCCACCATTGCCAAAGCAGGATTGGCCATTATTAAAGATTGTTGTGGGGCCACACAATGCAGCATCATGTAGCTCTGGGCTCTCTACCATGTTTGTCTCTTCAAATGTTTTCACTGAATGAAACTGTAGGGTGAGGGGAACTAACAGCATCCTGCTAACGGAATCAAGAGCAACTGGTACTACAGTAATCCCCGGAATGTACAATGGCAGGTTCTTCACTGTTGCATGGATCACTCAACACGCATGCCTAAAAACAAAAGAAATCTATATAGTGGCTGTCCGGTGACCAGAAAAGATCTATAGTAGAGTCAACAAAAATGCCCCAGTCATAAAAGTGAATGAAAAGAGGGTATATTTCATCCAGTAAGGTGTAAAACAGCAATTTTACTAGGCCATCACTTTGTAAGATTTTGTTGTACACTTTTCCCCCCTTGACAAACAGCACTCGAAAGCTGCTGGGATATCCTATTTTGGCTACTTATCATAACAAAAGCCACAAGTAGCAACGTTGTATATAGTGCAACTGATAGATGGAGCAACTTTAGGATAAGTGATGTTGCATACAAAATACTTACCAAAATAGTGTGATGTTCAACTACTTTGCTGTGGAGTTTCACTTCCAATTCTTCCTAAAGAATGAGGATCAGTGACAAGGATGCTGCAAGTAGAGATAAGATTTTTATATCCCATATAATTTCGGAATTACTCAAATCAAATTAATATTGCTCGCACCAGGGAAAATAAATCTCTGATAAAGCTTTAGCAAGCACAGCTACAATAATCTGCAAATACACGATGTGGTCCAAAGCCGTGTCATTTCTCTTTTAGACTTCCATATCACATGGAGTCAGAGAAATATTCACCCAGAGAACTCTGTCCACTATTAGAAGATACATGCAGTATGATATTACATATCACTGGTAGGCTGCCAAGAGGAGAGCGGAAGACAAACAAAACTGAACTAATATTTAAACACTGCTTAAAACAACTATTAATTGAATATTTCACGACCATAAAAAATATAAACTGTCAAGCATAGGAAGACACTAGCCACCCAAGACAAATTGTCTGCAAGAAAAATATACAGAAGTAGGTATTTGTGGTAGGAAGATCACATTCTACACAAAATGGATTTAAAATTAAGGGAAATACAGAAAGACTTACCTGTGTTTCACCATTAAATGTGTTTCTGGTCTCTATGCAGATTAAGCCTTGTGGAATCCAATATCTTTATATTAGCTGTCAGTAGCTGGTTTGTCTGTGTGATGGTATTCCATATAAATGTACCGTGATAGGTGTAAATAGTAAAATAAATGTACATGGATCTAATGTGAAAATCTCAGGCTTAGGAATAACAAACAGATAGGAAAAAAGTTCCTAAAATAAAGTTTTTCAAGAGGAACTTCCATTTTGTGAAGCCAGCCAAGTGAAGTGTACACTTACATACAAAGGAACCACAGTTATAGGAAAGGAGAAAAAAATTAAACAGCAGTTACCCAAAAAGGATAAACAGTAATTTTTTAGAGAAAGTATCTTATTAAGGTTCAAGGAGATAGACACCATCTAAAGTAACTCAGACTATTCTTGTACAAATAAAACCTAATCCCTAGCATTGGACTGATTCAATGAAGAACATCTGCATATCCAGAATAATTTGTTTCAGTATTGCAGACTCACTCGAGACAAAGAACCTATACCACAAAGTTCCTTAAGGTTTAAGGATCAAGGAGAAAAAAAACAAAACAAAACAAAAAAAACCCCACAAAAACCAAAACACAAAAGGTTTCCACTAAGACATGAAGCACTTTCATTACTTTGACCAATGATGCAGGAAAGAGGACAAAACATATCCAAAAGCTGAATAGTCATACATAGTTATTGCATCCTTGCTGATGCATACATCACATTAAGCTCTGTAGCTGTTAGTATCTACTGTATCTGGTATGGGTTGGGTTCTGTATAGCACTTGTGTACATTGACAGAGTTATAGGGAAGAGTGCTTTTAAGGGAAAATACACCCTGGAAGGGAAGAAATACCCACTGGCTTCTGCAAAATTCAACAGCCTCTTGAATTTGCTGGAACCCAACTAAAACATCAGGAATTATCAGTATCTTAAGATAAGAGGCAGATGTTCAGTGCCATTAACAAAGGCAAATGGAAGTTAGGAAAAAGCCTGTAGTGAAGCACCAAACTTAAAGCCTTAGGAGGATCAGCTGTTACAACCAAGTATTGTGAATGCTGGTAAATAAAGGGTCCTGAAGAAGGATTTCAAACAGTTTTTGTAAGGCAAGAGGTGACTTACGCACTTTAGTGTTAAACCAGGCTGTGCTAATGATTAGGATGAACCCTGCATGCTGCACAGAATCTACAGCCCCTTGGGAAGAAAAGTGGAATCAGTAGAATGTAGGTTTGTATGAAAAAATTTCATTAACAGGAAATGGAACTAGACATTTCTGGGATGCAACACTCATGACTAGGCTACAGAGCCCCCTCCTTTAATTAAAATGAAGAAGAAAAAACACAGCAAGTATGAATATGTAATATTCATATACAGTTAGCACTGGTAGCCAGTGCCCCAAAGGGACATGAAGTACAGCAGTATTTATGAGAGCGAACTTCAGAAGTTCTAGCTAGGCTCAGCTGAAAGGTTGTTTTCTTTACATGAGTTTGTTTTGTTTTTAATTATCAAATTGCTTCAGTTCTGTTTTTATTTGGGTGGATTTGAACAGCTTGCCTGCAGTGCACCAGTAGTTCCTTTAGAAGGGGGTCAGTGAAGCTGCTTAGCAATAAAGTCCTGGATTCTTTTAGACTCTGAGGTCAGATTCTCAACAGTGTTCAACACTGGCTTACAGCACTGTCCATCCAGAACACAGCCAAGCCCTAATGGCTTACTTCAAACACAATGGTTGTAACTAAACAAATGAAACATAGGAAGGGATTAAGTACATATAAATCTTGGTCCTTGTTATTTTAAAAAAAAAAACAAAAAACAAACCCACACAAAACACCACCAAAAACCCCACCAGACTAAACCACTGAATAGTCCCAATGAGGGACTTTGTAACTTCCATGATCCTATGAACATTGCACATTATGCAATCCCCATGTGTAAAATCAGCAGAAAATATCAGACAAGTATCTTTAGGTGATTACATCAAGTAACTGGCATAATTTCAGAGCTGATTTTCAGGTTCTCTCTTACTGTCTGCAAAGAGGGACACTGGTTGACTGAAGCACCTGAAGTACCTTCTGGAAATCCTGGCTGGTTATCACTTCAGAAAGAAGACAAGGCATCAGAAAAAGAAGAATTTACGGTGGATTTGACACACTATTTCCTCTATGAACTGGTAAACATGGCTATATTCAGTAAAGGATCTTGGTCTACTGAGAAAAACAATAGTGCTGAAGTGCTATTTGTACTAATCACCAATTCTACCAGCAAATGGTTCTCTTGTACCTTCCCCTAGGCCTATTGACTATCTTCAGCAAGTTAAACATATTTCCAAATAAACTAAGCTGCTGTGTTATACTAAGTATATCTTTCTTTCTGTTACTGAAGGGAATAAGTGGTTGTGGAGTATAGTGGGATGCACTTACTGTGCTACTGTGCTTTTCAAAAATAATAGGATTATTATTCTGCAATAAGGGAGTAATTTGGTAAGTTAGTGATGCTACTAAAATAAAAGGACTTTATCTCACTGAAAAAACCCATAGTTTCTCCAATGACACTCCACAAACAAAAGCCACCAAAAAAGCCAATCTTATGCTCCTAGGCGACTTTGAAACCTCACTACAGCCCAGAGCACTGCAGATTAGAACATGGTTCCCAGCCCTACATTGAGAAGATAAAGGTCCCAACATATTTGACTATCAAAACCATTGCCAAGGCAGAAGGGCTTAACAGCAATCAAAAAAAAAAAAAAAAAAAAAAAAAAAAAAATCAATCAGCACTCTCTGGTCTGCTCACCAGAGTGGTTTTACAGATGCTACCTGAAGCATAAGGGATCTGGAGATCTTGGGGACCAGAGACTACATGACCAGATACAGGGAATGAGATAGAATCAGTGCATCTAGGGGTGGAACTCATGTTGCTGCTTTGCTCTCATTGCCCCACCTTCCTCCTGTGGTAAGCAAACACAATGAAATCAAAATTTGTATTAACAGAGTTTTGGTGCTGAGAGTCAACTAACAAATATCTAGAAGCAATATTGTTATATCATCTGAACAAGAAGTGTGGAAGACAAGCTTCCCTTCTCCCCCATCTCTCAGAATAAAATAATTCAGCTCAGCAGAAAGCTTTAAACATAACCCTGCAGCCAACTGAAGAATCCTAAGTCAAAGATCAGCAACATACAGGAGAGACATTGCATCATCCAGACTTTCTCTGCCTAATTGTAACCCTGGTGGCAAGCTATCAATGTCTTCTTAACCAAAACACAGTTAACAGGAGTTAACTAGTACTTTCATAAGAACACCCCCTGCAGCCTGAAATGCAGGGCTGTGAAAGGTAACTAGGGCATGCTTTCATCTCATGGCTGGTAACCACAAGTTCATGTGTGACTCAGGCTTTGTCACACTTTGTCTTCCTACACAGGCATAAGAGCATGTTTTCATTTGCAACTAAACAGATGGTTAAGGAGAACAGTTTTCCCAATATTCTGTTCAGCTTGATCTCAAACCATGCCACTTGGAACCAAAACATTTACAGCAGAGTAAAATCAATTGCCTCAAATCAGGACTGCAAATTTATTCTACACAACATGTGTAGAATACACATATTCTACCCATATTCTTATCCATACTCACTGCCTCTGAAGCAGATAAAATTTTTACTGACATTTCAGAGGCAGTTCTTCAAAAGTAAGAGTTTGACTACTGGCTCCAAAAAGAGATCTCAGACAACTTCTACAGTTAAGACTGAAATAAAATTCCAGCTGAGAATGAATGGAGAACCTGCAAGTTAGACTCACTGGCAAACAATGATCACAGAAAATGTTTCTGGTCATGAAGGAAAGTATTTTTTCTTATTAGAAAGGAATTTGAAGGCATTTAGTTCAGATTTTTTTTTCAATAAACATGACATTTCTCTTAGAGTAGAAAGACAACCACAAACTTGCTATACAGACAACAAGCCAGAGAATATGTATTCTGCAGTACAGAGTCTTCCAAGATGTGCAAATAAACCAAGTTGCTCTGTGTGGTTTGCTCCTACCTAAAACAATGGAAAATTTCTTGGTGCTCTAACTTATATAATAATGTCAACAGTTGAAAAATCAAGTGCCAGCAGGTCACCACTAAATTCTAACATTTCAGGAGCAGGCTGAAGAAAAGCAAAGCAATTTTTCTTCTGTTTTGCCCCTGAAGACAGGGCAGCTCCCTTCCCTATTCCAGACCCAGCATGCATTCCCAAGCAGCTCAGAGTCCAAGCCACTCTTTCGGTCCCAGTAGTCACATTACTTAAATGAACACAGTCCTACTCTGCCCCAGCATAAATGCTACCATTGTTATTAAGGTGCATCTTGTTCCACATAAACCGCATCAATCCTGTAAACAGCCAGCCAAGTAGGCTGCTTTGGAACAGGATCTTATACTAAAAACATTACTTTAAGGTCCAAAACTTACTCTTCCCTCCACGTGGATACAACACTTCACATAGG